CCACATCACACTTATTCTAAAATCAACCACAAAATTAGAAGTAAAACACACCTCAGCAAATGCAAAAAAACAGAAATCATAATAAACAGTCTCTCAGACAACAGTGCAATCAAATTAGAACTCAGGATTAAGAAATTCACACAAAACCACACAACTACATGGAAACTGAACAACCTGCTCCTGAATGACTACTGGGTAAAGAACAAAATTAAGGAAAAACTAAAGAAGTTTTTTGAAACCAATGAGAACAAAGAGACAACATATCAGAATCTCTGGGATACATTTAAAGCAGTGTGTAGAGGGAAATTTATAGCACTAAATGCCCACAAGAGAAAACAGGAAAGGTCTAAAATTGACACTCTACCATCACAATGAAAAGAACTAGAGAAGCAAGGGCAAACAAATTCAAAAGCTAGCAAAAGACAAGAAATAACTAAGATCAGAGCAGGACTGAAGGAGATAGAGACGTGAAAAATGTTCAAAAATCAATGAATCCAGGAGCTGGTTTTGTGAAAAAATCAACAAAATAGACCACTAGCCAGACTTATAAAGAAGAAAAGAGAGAAGAATCCCATAGATGCACTAAAAAATGATAAAGGGATAGCATCACTGATTCCACAGAAATACAAACTACCATCAGAGAATGCTATAAACACCTCTACACAAATAAACTAGAAAATCTAGAAGAAATCGATAAACTCCTGGACACGTACGCTCTCCCAAGTCTAAACAAGGAAGAACTCGAATCTCTGAATAGACCAATAACAAGTTCTGAAATTGAGGAAGTAGTTAATAGCCTACCAACCAAAAAAAGTCCAGAACCAGACATATTCACAGCAAAGTTCTACCAGAGGTACAAAGAGGAGCTGGTACCATTCCTTCTGAAATGATTTCAAACAATAGAAAAAGAGGGAATCCTCCCTAACTCATGAGGCCAGCATCATCCTAATACCAAAACCTGGCATAGACACAATCCAAAAAGGAAATTTCAGGCCAATATCCCTGATGAACATCGATGTAAAAATCCTCAATAAAATACTGGCAAACTGAATTCAGCAGCACATCCAAAAGTTTATCCATTATGATCAAGTCAGCTTCATCCCTGGGATGCAAGGCTCGTTCAACATATGCAAATCAATAAATGTAATTCATCACACAATCAGAACCAATGATAAAAACCACATGATTATCTCAATAGATGCAGAAAAGGACTTCGACAAAATTCAACATCCCTTCATGCTAAAAACTCTTAATAAACTAGGTATTGATGGACCACATCTCAAAATAATAAGAGCTATTTATGACAAACCCACAGCCAATATTATACTGAATGAGCAAAAACTGGAAGCATTCCCTTTGAAAACTGGCACAAGACAAGGATGCCTTCTTTCACCACTCCTATTCAACATAGTATTGGAAGTTCTGACCAGGGCAATCAGGCAAGAAAAAGAAACAAAGGTATTCAACTAGGAAAAGAGGAAGTCAAATTAGCTCTGTTTGCAGATGACATGATTGTATATTTGGAAAACTACATTGTCTCAGCCCTAAATCTCCTTAAGCTGATAAGCAACTTCAGTAAAGTCTCAGGATACAAAATCAATGTGCAAAAACCACAAGCATTCCTATACACCAATAACAGACAAACAGAGAACCAAATCATAAGTGAACTCCCATTCACAACTGCTACAAAGAAAATTAAATACCTAGAAATACACCTTACAAGGGATGTGAAGGACCTCTTCAAGAAGAGCTACAAACCACTGCTCAAGGAAATAAGACACAAACAAATGGAAAAACATTCCATGCTCATGAACCAGAAGAATCAATATTGTGAAAATGGCCATACTGCCCAAAGTAATTTATTGATTCAATGCTATCCCCATCAAGCTATCATTGACTTTCTTCACGAATTAGAAAAAAACTACTTTAAATTTCATATGAACCAAAAAAGAGCCTGCATAGCCAAGACAACCCTAAGCAAAAAGAACAAAGCTGGAGGCATTACCCTACCTGACTTCAAACTATAGTATAAGGCTGCAGTAACCAAAACATCATGATACTGGTACCAAAACAGATAAATAGATCAACAGAACAGAGCAGAGGCCTCAGAAATAACACCACACATCTACAACCATCTGGTTTTTGACAAACCTGACAGAAACAAGCAATGGGGAAAGGATTTCCTATTTAATAAATGATGTTGGGAAAACTGGCTAGCCATATGCAGAGCACTGAAGTTGGACCCCTTCCTTATACCTTATTCAAAAATTAACTCAAGATGGATTAAAAACTTAACCATAATACCTAAAACCATAAAAACTCTGGAAGAAAACGTAGGCAATACTATTCAGGACATAGGCATAGGCAAAGACTACACGACTAAAACACCAAAAGCAATGGCAACAAAAGCTAAAATTGACAAATGGGATCTAATTAAATGAAAAAGCTTTTGCACAGCAAAAGAAACTATCATCAGAGTGAACAGGCAACCTATGGAATGGGAGAAAATTTTTGCAATCTATCCATCTGACAAAGGGCTAATGTCCAGAATCTACAAAGAACTTAAACAAATTGACAAGAAAAAAACACAACCCCATCAAAAAGTGGGCGAAGAATATGAACAGACACTTCTCAAATGAAGACATTTATGAGGCCAACAAACGTATGAATAAAAACTCATCATCACCACTGGTCATTAGAGCAATGCAAATCAAAACCTCAATGGGATACCATCTCATGCTAGTTCGAATGACAATCATTAAAAAGTCAGGTAATAACTGATGCTGGAGAGGATATGGAGAAACAGGAATATTTTACACTGTTGGAGGGAGTGTAAAAACCATTGTGGAAGACAGTGTGGCGATTCCTCAAGGATCTAGAACCAGAAATAGCATTTGACCCAGCAATCCCATTACTGGGTTTATACCCAAAGGATTATAAATCATTCTACTATAAAGATGCATGCACACGTATGTTTATTGAGGTACTATTCACAATAGCAAAGACTTGGAATCAACCCAAATGCCCATCAATGATAGGCTGGATAAAGAAAATGTGGCACATATACACCATGGAATGCTATGCAGCCATAAAAAAGGATGAGTTCATGTCCTTTGTAGGGACATAGATGAAGCTGGAAACCATCATTCTCAGCAAACTAACACAGGAACAGAAAACTAAAAACGACATGTTCTCATTCATATGTGGGAGTTGAACAATGAGAATATATGGACACGTGGAGGGGACCATTATACACTGGGCCTCTTGTGGGGTTGGGGGATAGAGGAGGGATAGAATTAGGAGAAATACCTAATGCAGATGACGGGTGCATGGGTGCAGCAAACCACCATGGCACGTGTATACCTTTGCAACAAACTTGCATGTTCTGCACATGTAACCCAGAACTTGAAGTATGAAAATAATAATAATAAAAGAAATTAAAGAACATAGTAAACTCAGCTATGATGGCAGGAATCAGAATCACTGCTATGGGGGGTGGGATGTCAGGTGAGCAGAGCCCCGAAATAACCTCCCTTGGTGCTAGAAATGTTCTATAGCTTGATCTTGTGTATATCCAGTAGGAAATTATCACACCGTATATTTGATATTAGGGTCCTTTTTCTTTTCTTAACAATATTCCTTAGGGATCTTTTCATGAAAGACACACACTAATTGTCTCCATCTTTAAAATGGCTGATGAGTTTTCACGGCCTGGAAGCTCTTCTATGTATCTAACCAGTCCTCTATCAATGTACTTTACAGGTTGATTTCCTCCCCAGCATTCTTGCTGCTGGGTTTCTATTCTGCGCTGCATGGAGGCGAGGGGAGGAAAAAGGACTAGGATGGTGTTTCAGTCCTTTTCTTTGTGTTGTCTTAGGACCTGAGCCAAGTAATTTCTCTGAGCTTCAGTTTCTTTGTCTGTAAAATGGATTTTGAAATACACTGAAAAGTCTTTCAAAAAAGAAACAATGTGGCTCTGGTAGAATCAAGGTGGGAAATGCTGTGGTAAACAAAGCTGAGCCGACTTCTTTCCTGCAGGACTTCTCAGGGCCCTCCTTACGTGAATGAGCAGCGTCAGTCTCCGGGAGGGGATGAAGGTATGCAGCCTTCCCCAAGCCACAGAATCCTCTAAAGAATGTTTCTAAAAGGAGCATGGCTGGGCTTTGATGCCTGTGGAACACTTTTTAGAAAAAGCTGCAGCATGACAGGTGCCGGTGAAGGCCCCTGTTATACACTACAAGGTCCAGCATACAGTTGGTGCTTGGTGTAGGTACAGTAAATGAATGAGTGAGCAAGTCTTTTGAAAACAGAGACAGTAGAGGTCATTCATTCATTGCTCTGCTTAAAACCCTTCAACAGCTTCTTCTTATCCTCAGAATAAACCCTTGCTCAGGGTTCTCAAAGCAGATGAACCTGGTTTCAAGGGGTACTAAAATCAGACAGATATGTTTTCAAATCCTGAAATGCCCCAGCTGTATGGTCTTTTTGCCTTTCTGGGCCTCACTTTACCCTCTATGAATGAGGTTGACAGCATCTACGAGATGGGTCGTGGAAGCACCAGGCTGTATGCAGCAAGTGTTAATGTTTTCCATTTTGACAAAATCCCACATAAAGTTCGAATTTCAGCCCTGAGAATGAATCCTCCAGGAGCTCTCCAATTCAAGAGTATTATCCTATTTACTTCAGTTCATTCATTCATTAAGCATCTATTAGGCACCAAGCACTATGCTAGACACGAGGGATTCAGCAGGAAACTAAACAAAAAGTCCATTCCTCCTGGAACATACCTTCTACTGGCAGTGCTGAGAATATAATAAGACAGTGTCAGTTACAGCCCTGGCAAGAAGTGCCTAAGCCCGTAAGCTGTGTTCCACCAGAGTAGGATCCAGGGACAGTTGGGTCCAAGGTCCATTTTTGGCTTTGGGGGCCTTACCGTCTGTCTGGAGTGGCAAAAGGAGCCCAGATGGGAGGAAAACAGCATGTACCTGGCCTGGCCTCACCTGCTTCTTGTCCTCACAGTGGCTGCCCCTTCTCCGTTCAAGCAGCTGGGCTGCCACTCGCTCTGCTGCCACCTGCCTCCTGCTACCAACTTGCTGGGTCGCCATAGCCTCAGATCTGGCTACTTGTGTGGACCAAGGTCCCCTCACTCAATAGGCAGAAGGGCACCCTTTCCCCCTCCCCCCCACCTGTGGTCACCAGGCATCCCTCAAGCACTGAGTTCTGATGTCACAGAAGGTGGGGACAGCAAGGTTCCCACCTTCCCACCATCCCGATTTTAGCCCCTTCCCTCACTTTTTTCATATGAATGTAGAAAACAAAGGTCAGGAAGAAATCCGTCAAAAGATTGTTTCAGGATGATGATTTTTCTGATTCTTTTCTTCTGTATTTGCAAGTTTTAAATAAAATATGCTAATTCTAAAGTATAAAAAACAATAGGTTGGGTGCAGTGGCTCACACCTGTAATCAATTCCTAGCACTTTGGGAGGCTGAGGCTGGAGGATTGCTTTAGTCCAGAAGTTCAAGATCAGCCTGGGCAACATGGTGAGACCATCTCTCTATTTAAAAAAATCACACACACAAAAAGCTATTTATAATTGAAAAATGTATGGAAATAATTGTAGATTCACATGCAATTGTAAGAAACAATACAGAGGCCGGGTGCGGTAGCTCACACCTGTAATCCCAGCATTTTGAGAGGCCAAGATGGGTGGATCATGAGGTTAGGATCACCACACTGGCTAATATGGTGAAACTCCATCTCTACTGGAAATAAAAGAAAAAAGAAAAAAGAAATTAGCTGGGTGTGGTGGTGCATGCCTGTAGTCCCAGCTACTCAAGAGGCTGAGGAATCACTTGAACCTGGGAGGTGGAGGTTGTAGTGAGCTGAGATTGTGCCACTGCACTCCAGCCTGGGCAACAGAGTGAGATTCTGTCTTAAAAACAGACAAACAAACAAACAAACAAATAATACAGAGAGATACTGTGTCCCATCTACGGAGCTTCCCCCCATGATACAGTAATAGCCTGCATCACTGCAGTAGGAGTACACAGCCTGGATATGGACACTGATACACGCTACCAATCTTAAGCAGACTTCCCCAGTGCTACTTGTTCTCATTTGTGTGTGTGTGTGTTTAAAGAATTTTGTGTAGGTTTGTATACTTAGGACTACAGTCAAAATACAGAAGAATTTCAAAACTACTAGAGACTTTATGCTGCTTCGTGATGGCTGTTGCCTCCCAACCCCGCCCACACTGTTCCTAATTCCTGGAAACCACTTATCTGCTCTCTCTTTCTAAAATTTGTTTATTCCAAATGCCACATAAATGGAATGAAACAGCATTTAACCTTTGGGGATTGGCTTAAAAAAAAAAGCAGAGTATAATTTCCTGGAAATTAATCCAATACGTTGCATGTATCAGTAGTTCATTCCTTTTGAGTGTTGAGTAGTATTTTGTGATATGTGTATGCCATATTGAAGGACATGTTCCAAACATGATCAAAACCTGGCTGCCTCCCGCTTTTGACTCTTGTGGGTAAAGGTGATGTGAACATTGTTGTACATGCTTTTAGGTAAACATACGTTTCATTTCTCTGGGATAAATGCCTGAGAGTGCAATTGCTGGGCTATAATGTCATGGCATGATAGTTTTATAAGAAATTGTCAAACTTTTCCAGAATGGCTGTGCCATTGTACATTCTCATTAACAATGTATGAGTGATTTGGTTTCTCCTCATCCCCACCAATATCTGTTTTCACTATTTTTTAATTTAACCATTTTGATAGAGGTTTGGTGACATCTCACTGCGGTTTTAATATGTATTTCCCTGATAGCTAATGATATTATGATGTTGAACATCTTGTTTTATAAAAATTATTAAACAATTTTTTTTTTTGGTGGAGACAGTGTCTTGCTATGTTTCCCAGGCTGGTCTTGAACTTCTGGCCTCAAGCAATCCTCCCACCTCAGGCTCCCAAAGTGCTGGGATTACAGGAGAGAGCCACCATGCCCTGCCTGAACATCTTTTCATATGCCTGCTTGCCATCTGCATCTCCTCCTCAGTGGATATCTGCTCCTGTCTTTTGCCCATTTACTAATTGGATTGGTTTTGCTACAGTTGAGTTTTGAGAGAGCTCTTTGCTCATTTTAGATACTAGTCCTTCTTAGGATATATGGTTTGCAGATTATTTTCTCCCAGTTTGTAGCTTATCTTTTCAACCTCATTACAGGGAATTTTGCGGAGAAAATGTTTCAAGTTTTGATCCAATCTACCACTTTTTCTTTTATAAGTTGTGCTTTCTCGTGGCAAGTCTAAAAACTCTTCAGCTAGCCCTAGGTCCCGAAGATTTTCTCCTATTTTTTTTTTTTTTTTTGGTTGCATAGCTTTATGCTTCATATTTCAGCCTATGATCCATCTGGAATCAATTCTTGTATAAAGCATGAAGGTTAAGGTCCATTTTTTTTGTTTGTGGATGTCCGGTTGCTCCAGGACCAATTGTTCTGTATCCTGCCTCATTGATCTATGTATCTATTCCTGAATCAATGCCACACTGCCTTGATTGCTGTAGCTATTCAGTGATCCTTAATAGCAGGTAGAGTGATTTTTCCCATTTTGTTTTTCTTTGTCAAGTTTGTTTCAGCTCTCCTAGGACCTGTGCTTTTCCATATAAACTTTGGAACAAACTTATCTAGTCCACAACATGCCCAGCTGGGACTGTGATAGGAATTGCATCAAACCTATGAATCACTTTGGGGAGAACTGTCATACTCACTATGTGGTGTCTTCTAGCCTGTGAACACAGCATGCTTCTTCATTTATTTAACTCTTCTGTTTTGTTTGTTTTTTAACCCGCACTTTATAATTTTTGGAATACGGCTTTTGTACATGCTTTGTTAGGTATATACCTAAATATTTTATATTCCTTGGACTTTCCTTATACTTTAAAAGCCCCCATGTACCAAACAAATTTCATGTGTTAAGAAATCACCAATGTTCCACATTTTTTGAATTAACTTTACCAAAATTCCACATACAGAGCTTCTGATTGGCACCCAGATAACTGATATATTGAGACCTGCTATATGCTAGGCATTCCACTAGATTATTTTACTACAGCTTCTCTAGGCTATAATTCTGTGGGCAGTGGGGAATTGAATCTGTCTTACTATTGCATTTCTCATGTCCCTTATGCAAACCGTTACATAGTAAATGTTCAGTAAAAATACCTGTTGAAAGGATGAATAATGCACAATCTCAAACTGTAGCCTCTGAGAGGCCAGGAACTGTGTCTGGTGAATCCATTTTTGTGTTCATAGTACTTGGCTCAGTAAATATTTGCCGAATGAGTAAAGCAGGTGGTAAGATTTTTATGTTTATGAAGAAGCCAAGGTCCAGAGAGGCTAAGGAAGGATATCAGAATTAGTGGGTGTCATGAATGAAGTACCTACTGTGTGCCTGATCCAGGCTAAGTGCTTTCTGCACAGTACCTCATCTAATCCTAATTGCCCTGCAAGGCCGGCGCTGTTAGTTTCTGCTGGGAATGTTACTCTCCTTACTCAGTGGCACATGCCCTGCCTTAGTATGGGTCTATTTAACTCCAAAGTCTTTTAGTTTACCACAAGGAGTTGATGTAGTTTCGGTTAAAAACAAAGAAAGTTACCATTCTTGTCTTTTGTGGCTTCATAGTACGTAAGTAGATGTGAGATTTCCATCAGATTTTCTGAATATCAAACATAACCATCTTCCCTCCTGCCCTCCCAACTCCAGGACTGTCCCTGGTTGGCACCTGGGGCATTTCATACAGTCTCCACTCCTTCCTGCCTCTTCTTCTGCATATCTTTATCGTGATTACTGAAGCGGCTACGTTGTCTGGGGTAAATACCCAGGGTTGGTCATCTCATGTCAGGAAAATTTACCACACGGACACACATGATAGGCAAAAGAGAAAGGAAAACAGCTCTCTCTCTACTGAGAGAGGGGACTTCTCAGAGGAAAAGACCAGCCAGTGGTGGATGCGCCAGAATTGCAGTTAGGCTTGAGGAGATGCGGTCTGATTTACATACAGCTCACAGATTGGTTCCATCAGTTATGACATTTACATAGTGAGCGTGGAGGTCGAGCCACCCCACCCTAATCTTACTACTCAAATGGACTTTCCCCTTGGCTGGGGCTGTCTTGTCTGCTCCTTACTGTACACTTGGCAGACAAAGAGAAGGGAAGATGGAGCCGCCGTCTTGAACATGATTAGCACAGCTGTCAGCATCCGTGTCTGCAGCTCGATTTTACAGGCTGCTCTTCGTTACAAAGGAAAATAATTGGGGGCTGCTCTCCTTTAAAAGGAAAACCCTACCGAGCACTTCTGCACCCTCACTATCTGACTAAGCAATTTCTTCTTAACTCCTGTATTTGTATCATCCCATGTGCAACTAAGATATTTGAAGAGTTTTCTAAGTACTGGGCGCTGTGCAAAGTGCTTTACATGCATTGGCTCACCATATAAATATTACAACTGTAGGTGGTAAATCATATTTTTTATGGAGATGATCTGTAAAATCATCTCCATTTTACAGATGAAGAAACCGAAGCTTAGAGTGAGTGAGTCACTTTCCCCAAGTTACTCAGCTGGTAAGAGGCAGGGATGAGGTCTTCACTCCACCATTCTGGGGACAGCACCCTGGCTCTTGGTGGCCATGAGATACTGTTCTTCCCTGGGAAGATTCAAGACCAGAGAAAGAATGAGTCCAGCCCAAGACAGTCCAAGGAAAGGTACCCAGCTCAAGCGTCTTGCCTCCCACTTGAGGGTCCTCCAAAGGCCATTTGCATTATCTTGATGCTCCTGCATGCCCCCATGCAGTTCCTGGCTCTTGGACTTTATCTGGTGGGCACATTAGAACTGTCAAGTGCAGGTATGTAAGGACTGCTCATTAGCTAATTATGGCACATCAAAAGTAATGAATTACAGTCACAAAAAGTAATGAATTACAGTCACATTTTTTAAGGAAACACAATAAATTCTTCCAGGAAACCCCTTTGGAAGGCAGAACTTTTGGGATTTGGCCTCAGGGCAGGGAGGGGAGGGAGGAAAAGCTTCCCCATTTGGCCAACAGAGAACTGTGGGCAGGGGGCTGGCAGAGGGTCAGTATGGCACTGGGTGCTCCAC